TTTATAAATATATACAGATCCAGAGCCATGATATCTACATTGTGTCTTTGAAATTGCAAGCCTAACAATGCCTAAGTAATGAGATGAAAATCAGAAGAAACTTACCTTGCAGCTGGAAATTGTTCTGTGAGTTAGAGCCTGGTTCAGATTGTTGTGATGTTCTGGTCAGCTTCCTCAAGTTCTCAGAAAGCTAAAGCAACCCTTAACTTGAGTTATGGATGGTTGGAATGCTCTGGAGCAGTCAAGATGCATAGTTCTAATTTTTTAAAATGGAGAGTGGTGAAGACTGTATTACAGTTTGAAAACAGAAGTTGGGAAAGCTACTACATGTATACCAGAAACTGTATGGATGATTTGGCCAAGAAACGCACAAGGAAAATTAGAGTTTGGACGCAAAAATCAGAAACTAGCAGGTTTTGTGTTTGTGTTGCAGTTTCAGGTTCTTGGGAACTTTCAGCAGGGTTTCAGGGATTTTTTACAATCCTCCTTCAGTTTGCAAATGAAGTTTAATTTATAGGTAAAAGATTTAGAAGCTTGGAGAAGTCAGGAGTACAGCCATCATGTGTTATGGATCGTTGACTTATTTTTGAAGCAAGTTTAGACATGCATGTTTCAAGGCAAGGTATGGTGGTTAGCAGCTTTAAACACGCCTAATCTGAGTTTAGGCATGATTTGTGGGGAAGTACACTCAGAAACAGAGTAAAGTATGGGCTCAAAATAAACTTTGTACAAAAGTTTGCTTTTCAAGAACAACAGTGGTACTTTTATGCCATACGTGGGAAGATCCTTTAGATGATGGCTTAGACACTGGGATAAGGACTCAAAATTTGGTGTAAGCATTAAATTATGATGATATTTAACAAGCAAGAAGGCCTGCAACATGAGATTATGCAGCATAGCTGGAAACTGGATCAGAAGTTCAACATAAACATAACTTAGATTAAGAACAAATGTCCAACTTCTGATCTTTGATTCTCCTTGCTCCAGCATGATCTGAAGGAGTTCTCAGACTTTTCAGAAATCTTGTAACGTGCTTTGTAACCCCTCTTTGAATCATTTTTGCAAACTCTGATTGTACCTACGTGAAAACTGGTCCAGAAGTTATAATCAAGTTCTGACTTGGAAATGTTCAGAATTTACTAAGTGTTTTAGGTTCATGGATGTGTCTTCAAGGATTTATAACATGAAATCCCAACATTTCTAGGAGGAGTTCTGTTCTGAAATGTTTTAGATCTCATTAAGATCTACAACTCTTGTGTCAGAAGTTCTTCCTGAGTCATCTTGCATCATGATAAAAATCTGGCCAAAAGTTCTGAACTTATCATATTTTCTTAACACTTAGATGAACCAACTTCATATTCTACCATGTCTTGATGAACTGTGATTCTTGAAACTTGATTTTGATTAAAAAGTCAAATTTTTACTTTTCAGTGTGCATTTTGATCATTTTGCCCTTGTGCCAATTCCAAATCTAAATTGATGTATCAGTGCTGTAAACTTGAGTCGTGGAAGACCTTGTGAGAAAATTCTTGAGAAATGAGTGGCCAAATTTTAGGGTACAACAATCTCATTAAACTCTAATTACTAGACATAGACTTAGAGTTCAATATTCACTTCAATTATCAAGCCTTAATGCTACTAGATTATTTAATAGATTGAGACATCATCGATTAAACAATCTAGTAGAAATCTCAGCAGGAGTTTAGACATAAACACTGTTATAAGCGGTATGTGAAGATAATAATGAATATCCAAGTTATATATAAAAGTGATCAATGAATACATACGCATTTGGTGGATGAAATCTAATCACAACAAGTTCTCTTATGTGTGAAACTCTTTTTATCAAATACCGTCTTATATTTCATTACTTTTACAATCAAAATAACTTCTGATTCTATACTTAAAACATATTAACTGTTGAACAATTGTGATATCACATCAGTCCCTGTGGATATGACACAAACAATAATTACTTTTGATTACTGAATAACCTCTCTCCACCATAGTACAAATATCGCATGATCAACATACATGGTGAGCAAGGTATGGTCATTGGGCCCTCCAAGGAGTTTCCCCATCTGTGTTTATAAACGACTTTGTATCAGCTTGAGCCGTAACCTTCATGCTTGTATGAGCCTCCACCTCTGTGTCAGTCTTAGCAACCACTTCTATGTTAGTCTGAGCCATCACCTTCGTTTCAATCTGAGTATTTATGTCCTCCTGAGTTGTTGTCTCTACATCATCAACAACAACACCATCAAGTTTGCATCAAGATCTCTTCCCTGACCAACTTTACCTCTTCTACGTCAAAGAGTAGAAGGTGTGTGTGACTGCTCAACTCTCCTAAAGTAAAAATTGATGGGAATATTCTACCCACCCGAATATGAGAATCATCTTTGTCATGTGCCCCTACTCGACAACTCACTGCATATTCTCTCTTTGCTCTATCAGTCCATCTAGAAGTAAGCATGTCGTCTCTTCCTCTGATCCTCACTACAATAAAAAAAAACAAGATGACTACCATATTTTTTTTAAATATCTAGACATTTACATTGTCTTACAGGAATTTTCAAAAAATACGGTAACCAACATGCATTTTTAGAGTTTTTTTTTTTTTTTTACAAATATTCAACATGCATGCATTTTTATCGTAAAATTACATGTTAGTTATCGAATTTAAAAAAAAAATTATCGAATTTAAAAAAAAAAACCAATATAAATACATGTGATATATGAGATTTAACGATATTTTGAAAATATTTATAAAAATACACAATTTTACCTAAAAATACAATATAAATCTTAAATAACCAGTAAAGAGAACATAATTTAAACGAAAAGAAAAATGACTTACTTGTAAAGATTCGATAAATACCTTAAAAAATCTTATAAATATCACAACTTTTTAAGAATGTCTGAAAAATAATAATAATATTTTTAAATTTTATCATTAATTAATTGTATCATTATTTATTCCCAATTCCCATCAATCATATCTCCATCGGCATCCACTATTTTGGCTTTTTTTTCATTACCATTCGCATGTTTTTCCCCTTTAGTATATTTCTATAAATTCACGTGGGAATCTCAAGTGGTATTTAAGTCAATTTTTAGTTTTTCTTAAATATAAAGCTAAATATTTATTTTAATCTCTTAATTATATGTTTAAATTTATATTGATTCTTTAATTTCGTTTCGTGTCATTTTATTCTCTTAATTTTTAAAATATTTTATTTTAATTCTTTTTATTTAATTAGTAATAGATTTTTTAGCGATGAATTTTAAATTTTTTTTATTACTATTTAAATAAAAAAGATTAAAATAAAACTCGAAAAAAAATTAAGAAAACAATATTAAAAATATAGTTAAGAGACTAATATATATATATATATTTTGCTTAAAAATAATTAATAAAAAATTATTCTAAATGGTTTTTGTAATGGACAACAAAAATAAACTCATACCTTTGGAGACAATGAACGTGAACCTGGCATAATATTATCCAAACTCTGAAATCTGTGTATTCTATTCTTTGCTCTTGCTATTTTTTGGGACAACCACCCAATCCAAGGACACTTCTCGTCCTTCTTTGGAATTGAATGGGATTAGCTACATTTGAGCTTTAATCTTTCTCATTCTAGTAACTATTAGTATTTTTTTCCATCTATCTTTTTCTAAAACATTCTTAAAATCGTCCTATCTTTCTCTTCACAAAGGTAACTATTCTCAATATATCAATCATCTTCTCCCGTCAAGGCTGATCTTATTAAAGAATCGCTCTAGTACACATCCATAAATGATACAGGTGACTATATTATTAACTTTTTAATTAATCTATTATAACTATTTATATTCCCTCCATCATCTGATTTATTATTTCACACCAGTTAAAAAAAAATATAAACATAAGAGAAAAAATAATATTTTTCTTATAATATCTTTATAATATATTAGAAATGATGAAATTTTTATTAATTAGAGGATAGAATTAAAAAAAATATATTAAAATTTGAAATAAATCATAGATATTATTTTATTTCAAATTGACCATTCATTATCGAACGAAAATAATATAACTGTATCTTAAAATTTTGAAAGTTTGCAATTTAATTGTAATAAATTATATATTTAATCATAACTTAACTGTAATAATTATTTTATAAAATATTATTTACTTACAATTTAATTATAATAAATTTTGAATCTTCCACAATAACCCACATTATACGAGTTTAAAATAACTTATCTTACACTCTTTTAAATACCATCATGATTATTTGTACTATAATATTTTCTAATCAAATATTTTTTGTTACAAATTAATTTAATTTTTGTTTTTTTATTTAAGTTTATTTTTGAAAGTTAGAAATGCTTATTTAGTTAGTTTTTAAAAAAAAATTATAGTATGTATAAATAACAAGCTTACGTGTCAGTTAAATACTTTATGCAGAACGACAAGTTAAACATTTTTAAGTATTTAGAAGTTATGGTTATTGAATTATAGTTTTTCTTATGAAGAAAATCACAAGACAAATTTAATTAGATCTTAAAAGTCTAGAGGTTATATTATATCTTTCACTCAACTACTTTTACTACATTTGTAATGGAGATGTGTTTAGATTTATAATCTGAAATTAAGTAATGTAAAAAATCTAATTTAAGTTAATTTTATGCATGTGGGGTTAAAATGCTAACAACAAAACAAGGTAAAAATTTGAATACTAAAAAGATTAATTCAATAAAATAGTAATGTTTGATATGTAGGCTGTGTTATTAAAACATTCAATTTTTGACACTTAATGTCACATCCAACTTTCACTATTTTTATTATTATTTTATACACATTAACACATTAAAAAACAATATTGTTCCAATCTTAGAATTAAAAATTAGGATTGGTTTTGATATATTTCAAGTTTATGTTTTAAAAAAATTGAAGTGTTTGAATTGATTTAAAAAAGATTGTGTCTATCTTGAAAATAATTGGATACACAATAATGCGTGTTGGTAAATGGATATAATAAAATAATATAGAAGGCTAATTTGGTGAATTCAAGCCAAAGACAAGCAATAATATTGAAAGGATATTCTTGTCAGGTTTGTGTTTTTCATCGAAAGTTTTGGCTTTGAAATGAATCAAGGAGATAGGTTGAATTGAATTGAGTTCCTAATTTGCAGGTAGTTGTGAAAATAAAGTTGATGTTTGGTTATAGTAGCAAAGTTGAAAACAAAAATAACAAAAATAAATTTGTCTCCATTGTGCAGGCAACGGACAATATGAACGCCCTCCGCTCGTTTTGGAACAGTCCAATTGGTCCTAAAACCACTCATTTCTGGGGTCCTACTTTCAACTGGAGTCTTCCTATTGCGGTAACAATTTTCATTTCTTCTCTTCAACAAAGTAAACTATTATTTAGATTTCTATAAAAAAACAAAATAAATAATTATTATGTAATTGTTGTTAGGCTGTAATGGATACTCAGAAACCACCGGAAAAGATATCTGGCAATATGACTACAGGTTAGTTGGCATTAATAGATATATTTGTAGTTGATCAGAACAATTGAATATGTTTTTTCGGTAGAATTCTGAAAACCAAGATAAAATGATGATTTATTAGTTGGATATGCTTTGAACTCACAACTTCTTTGTTTTTAACTATATATGGATCGATAATAAAATTGTGCAGTCATGTGTCTTTACTCGGGAATATTCATGCGGTTTGCTTGGGTGGTCAAACCGCGGAACATACATCTTCTTATATGTCATATGTCTAATGAGACAGTACAATTGTATCAACTCTCAAGGTGGATCAGATCTCAAAGGTATATATTAAATACTTTTAACATTTTTATGTTTTGGTGATCATGATACTAAAGAGAAAGCATAGACAAACGCTAATAGTTTCCCATTTTATTGGATCTTTCTCAGATATAAATGGAAGATACATAAATCTGTTTTAATGTTACTCTTTTGTTTGATGTAAACAGTGACACAGACCTCAAGAAAGAGAAGGAAGATGAGTAAAAAACATGTTCAAACTGTAGCCAAAACATGTGTTATGTAACTTGTCATTCATTGTTTACTCTTTTAGTTTAAAGTGATTTCTGGGTGTTATATTAGCCACATTTGAAATGATACAATGTTTTAAACATCTATATATATATTTTTGAACTATTTCATCTGATCATGTGATTCAAAACCGCATATGGTTTAAATTTCTTGAATGACATAAGACATTATTCGAATTATGTGATTCAAAGATATACTTTGATATGATTTGAATCAAGCTAGTTAGTGGCTAACTTTTTTCATTTTACTTTGTTTTATGTAAAAACATTTGAATCCTGTTATAAAAGATTGGTTGACTAGTTGATTTGATTCGAATGACACATTTTGATTTAAACTAACAAATTGAAATTTAAAATGAAAAAACTAATGATTTGAATTACATTACTAACTAGTCTGTTGTTACAAAATATTTTTTCTCATACTTAAAATGATTTTCCAAAAATTCAATGATATAATGTTATACTTACAACCAAAAAACAACAATCTATTGAAAAATTAACTCCTAAAAATAGGACGGGCATGAACTCAAATACTCACACAATCCCTCTTTTTAACATGGACACTTAAATTCACATTTAAATTCACCAATGTATCTGCACATTTGTTATATTCACGGTATAAGTGTATGATTCAAAACTCTCAATTACGATTTATCAAGGACTTTATTCTTTGGATTAGGCCCCAACCAATTCTCATTTTGGAGTTTGTGAAGGTAAGAGTTGTGACCACATCTATACTATCAATACAGAGTTCCATTTTTCTATAATCTTTATCCTACACTTGCGTCAAGCCTTCATAAACAACTCTACAATATCAACTTTGCAAACTCCTACATACTTAGACAAATTGTTGAAAGAATTAGGATTTTCAAGAAAGATTAAAGAGAGAAAGGAGAGAATTAGAAAATTATATTTCAACCTTGTGAAACTATTAAAAATGTTTTTTAAACTATACAACATCATGTCTATTTATAGTCGGTCAAGGCTCGAGCTTAAAACATACAACCTAAGCCTAAAATATACAAAGTTATATTTTGGCTTCGACATAAGAACTATATGTTGTATTCGACTGTCGAATACATCTGACTTCTACTACTTCGAGTAGGTCGAACACACCTATATTGAATACAGACTTTCTACAAAACAATAAATTACAACTTCTAACACACCACCTAATTCATATTTTCGAGACTTCTCATTCCAATAATTTTCTTTAGCTCACTGAACATGACTTTTTTCAGGGGTTTGTGAGAGTATATCAGCTTGTTGTCATTCTATCTTGTAATGCTCAAGTTCAAACTTCCCTTTATTTTCTTTATCCTTAGAAAAATGATACCTTGTCTCTTTATATTTACTTCGACCATGACACATAGAATGATTGGCTAGGTCGATGACTGACTTGTTATCCACAAACAACTTCGTTTTCTTAGGTTTCATGATCTTGGAATCTTCTTGCAGCATCTCTATCCACACTACTTGACATGCTACATATGATGCAACCACGTACTCATCTTCACATGATGACAAAGCCATGATGCTTTACTTTCTTGAGTTTCAATAGATTGGAGCACCTTCGATCATGAATATGTAGCCAGCAATACTCTATTTCTCGTCTTAATCTCCAGTGAAATCTGAACCAACATAGACATATACCTCTGCATTTGTGTTGGTCTTCTTTTGGCTTGGCATCAGCAAACCATGATCAACTGTACTCTTTATGTATCTCAACACACTCTTCACAGTAGTGAGATGACATTTTTGGGGTTTCTCCATAAATCTACTCAACAATTTGACACTTTGACAGGTATCTAGCCTGATATTGTAAAGATACCTCAAGGATCCAATGATTTGCTTGTGTAATACGGTGGATGAACTGACTTTTTGGTTTTATCGCAAATGTTGTGGTTAGCAAGAGTCTCCACCGACTTTTTTTTATCCAATATTTAGGAAAGGTGAAAAGAACAGGAAAGACCTTTGATAGATTTTGAGTTCGGGGGGTAAGTTATGAAAAGGGAAGGTGTTAACACCCTTTTCATCCATAGTTATCTACGGGATCTTAATTGCTTAGCTCACTTTTAAAAATTGCTTTGTGTGTGTGATTTGTTTAAAAGTATTTTGAAATGCCAATGTAAGGCTAACTTTGCAATAATCCTTGCATCAATCCTCAAGAATGTATACTGTTGTACCTTAAAATTTGTCCTCTTCATTTTACTTTTAGTGGCTTATGTTTCATCATATTCATTTCATACATCATGATGGGATCAAGGTTATTTTGTTTCTCAAACTCTCCTCAAGCAACAAAATTTGATTGTGTCGTCAATCAGTCCAAGATGAATCTCATATTCTCATTCTTCTGTCTACTCAAGCTATCAAGGTTTTTTCATACCTCATGGTTTCTCAATGGATTCTTTGTTTTATGAGAAGATTCAGGATTGCAAGGGTTTGGCAATGGGTCGCAACTTTTCCTATCTTTTGGCTTTTGTGCTAAGACTTTGATTATTGAAGCATGATTATCAAGAGGTTATCATTTCAAAGGTATAATCTTCTCCATCAAGATATGTCAAAGCTTATCTTCATCACTGCAAGGGATTTATTATGATCAAAGCTTGTTTATTCTCAATTGTTCATTGCTTACAAATACAAGTTGGTTTAGAATTTGAAAATTGAAGGCTCATTTGATAAGTTTAGACATGCTAAGTGCGTGGAAAAAATTGAAAATTGAAAATTGTTTCAAGCATCATTTTCACGGCAATTTAAGTGAGTTTAAATTTGGAATTAGTGAAAGAGGAAATCAAGTGTGATAAATCAAGAGAAGTGGTTTTCATGCCTATGATAAATCACATTTTCTTGTGACTTCTCTTTGAAACGAAGGGATAAACTTACTTCATTTCAAGTTGCAAGTTTCATATCCAAGTACTTCAAGTATTTCAAATTCATTACTTCCTATTAATTTCTTTCAAAATTCATTCAAGATCATCCAAATTTACCAAAGATCCAAGTTTGATTACAAATTCTACAAAGTATCCTTACTTTCTAAAGAATGCAAGAACATTTCAAATGCTATTTAGCTTCATACATCACCACTTCTTTTTGTTACAAGAGGGTTTCAAGCTTCTTAGTTCTTAAGTTTAAAATTACATCATCAAGACTATAAAATCATCCATGTTCCTAAGTCTAAACTTATGATTCCTAAAGAGACTTTTCATTGACTTTCTTTTGAATCTCCCTCCAATTTTCCAAGTCAAGCCACAAATTCTTCTTCTTCCCGCCAAAGACCAATCATCTTCCTCTCATCCTTCATCACATGAAAACATAAAACAAGGAAAAAAGAAAATGGTTAGAACACAATCAATGAAACTTAAATAAGAAGAAATTTACGAGAAGGTTTTTTCCCATAACTTCATCATTAGGGTTTGATTGAAGGAATTAGAATATAGGGGTCATTTCAATCATGTTCACATGCAACACAAAGGCCTCATGCATTTTCACAACCAAGTCAAAAATTTAATGAATAATCATAGGCCCAAAGGAACCTCTATTGCAAATCATAAATTTTGTTTTGGTTCACAAAGAGAGGTGTAAATAAGTATTTCCTGCAGTAATTCAAAAACAACAATGCAAGTATAGAATCGCAACACTCCAGCCCAAGCAACAAGCAATACAAAATTCACAAAAAATCACATCAGGTTTCGTAAAAGCCCGGAAAACAATTTCACAGCCTGTTATCAAAACTCAAATCCACAAAAAGTTCTCAGAAAAACATCACAGAAATCAGAAAATATAAACAGATATCAAAAAGCCCAATGACAGAAAGTCCAGCAACGCAGAAACTCTAAGTGCATCAATATAAGAGAACAATCATTGCACAGTTTTAGAGAAACAGAGCCACTGTACATAATATAGAAGTTGCGCAAAAACACAGAACCTAAGAGTTATCATCATCTTCCCTAATCACACAACCCTTCAGAAATCGAAAATGGAGAGGAAGAGATAGAATCGTTTGCAAGAGATATATAGAAAGAGGAACAAATCTCAGAGTGATCTCACCCAAAAAACATCCTGAGAAGCCAAATCGGAGCCGCTAGGATTTCGTTTCCCTGTTCAAGATCTACGCCAAATTGGTCATCCCCTGAAAAATCAAATGCTAAATAGTGATCAGAAGAGAGAGAAGAAAAGAATGATGAAAGGAAATTAAAGGTCAGAGCCAGGTTGTTGTCTGCCACCGCAGCCGCCGCCCCGGGGAAATTTCTGGCGCGACAACTTCATTGCCTCTGGAGGGCTCTCTTCAGAGAGAGATGAGAGAACATAAAGACAAGAGAGCGAAAGTTTGAGAAGAGTGATAGTTCTTAATATTTTGTTTATTTTTATCTATTATTTCCACATAACATCTATTTGTTGTGTATTCTTTTGTTAACATTATAAGTACAAGGACCGACACGGTGGTGACAAGTGTCGCCACCTTTGGGACACTTGTCACCGTTCAAGTGAAGGATGGAAAATTATTCTATGTGCATCATGCTACTGTAATGGTGCACCCTCATTCAGTTCTACACATTGGATCATCATCAGATCAACATCAATGACATCCAACTCTCCACCAGCACTTCCTCATAGTGCATCATCCTTAGTCCCCCACATTGGATCAGGAGGACCAAGCTAATTGGGCCTTGGAGATGCTGCTCTCCATACCCCCCAAATTTACTACCTTCAGGCCCAATTTTTTTTTTATCTTTAATCATTACTTTTTTATACAACATAATTGTTTTTTTTTAATTTGCTTAATTAAAATTAATTTAGACTTTAGATTTTTTAATAACTTAACTAATCATTTTTTAATTAAATTAATTTCTCTTTTTCTTAATTAAAATTAATTTAGTTCTTTTTTTTAGGTTTTACTAAACTTTTTTTTTGTATATCAAATTAACTAGTTTTTAGGTTAATTATCAAATTTCTTTT